TAAATATTTGAATAATACTAACTAAATATTTGTTAAATATAAACATATTTATTTGATATAAGAACATTAATTTGATTTAAATATAATTTTTTTTATTCAATAAATATTTATTTTCTTTAAGTGAATGTTGGGTTATTACTATTTAAACAAATATTTATTAAAATGTAGTATACACATTTTTCTCGATGTATTCTTTCGTTTTAACAATTCGAATTGAAATGCAAATTAAATACATTCTAGAAATGCTTGTAAAGTATTACAATAGACGTTACTGGAAGACTCGTTAACATATTTGTTTTTTCTTAATATGATTTTCTCGAGATTGCGTGGTAAATGCGAGTTACATGGGAAGCATGTTTTAGAGACCAGGATAGAGCTTTTGAAACGTGCAACAAGTCTATATTTCGCGTAGTGAGTCTGGTGGCCAATCGATGGAATCAATTTGCATAATGTATACACGCGAACGCGTATGCTCGACAATGCCTCGATATGCCGGAGTTGCTTTTATAAATATAGTGATAGAGAAATATCATTGAGACGTATTACTAACATCAATAAAATTGTGCTGATGAGATGAGAAAGATAAAAGATTTGACTATATTTAAAATATACGGCTAACACACTATCGATTAATGATTAAAGATTCTCTCTTGAATAATAAAATTATAAAACCGTATTCAAATTACAAAATCTTGAATAATAAAATCTTGTTTAATATTAAATTATTTTTAAACGAGAAATTAATATCATTCCGAATAAAATTATAAAATCGTATTTTATGTTAAAATGATTTACGATTCTCTGTATTGTAAAACAATTTAGTGTTTCAAACTTTAACGAGTTCACGCTTTAAGCGAGTTTACAATTTCTCCAAGTGAACGATTGTCAAACTAATGATGCTGCAGGACACGGTTCTGTTGTTTTAATGTACTTTCAAATGAGGTGGAAACTGATTTAAACTGTCGTACTGTGTCTGGTAACGACGATTAATAACGCACGGTTAATGTATCATAATGTATCACGTATATCCGACTTTTGTAACAATATATTGTGTGTAACGATATGTTGTTACACAATGATTGTATATTTTTTATGATAAGTATTTTTCCTGTTGTTGTTTTGATCTTTCACAAAAATAAACAACGAAAATTTTATTCGATAAATTATTCGAGAGGATGTAGTAATATTAGATGTAGTAAAAAGAAATCCATTATTTTTCCATTCAATGCAAAAATAATGGATTTCTTTTTACTACACCCAATAAATAAAATTTAAATCGTTTTAACTAAGACAATATTTATACAGCTTTGACATATACATACATGAGGATATTTTTCTATGTTTTTGTTAATTGGCATAAATTTATCACACATTACAAAATCACTAGTTATAAATAACTTTCAGATAAATTTTATCCTTATGTAAGAATAATCCGGGAGAATTAATTTCTTAGATATATCGGTTATTTATTATTAATAACAAAATTACATTTGTGATTAAGAGAATGCATTAAATTCTATAATGCAGAACAGAGCATATTAATTTTTTAAAATTATTAATTAAACTTGAAAGTAAATACTGAAAGTGAACTTTGTTTTTAAAATGAACATTAATTATGTATTATCTATAAAAAAATTCAACATTATGTAAATTGTTATTAGTTTTTTCAACATATTTGCTTCAATTGTTTCAAGTATCTCGACAGTTCATATATCCGCAAATCTATCATAAGTTTATCTATTAAAAAAACAAATTCAATTTGTTTATTATATAAAGTTGTTTCAATCAATTTTATATATTCTTTAAAAGAAAATAAATTTTTGTTTTAAATAATTACGTATAATTAATTTTTCTAATATTTGTAATAAGTATACTTTAAGACTGCCAAGAAAATATTCTTTTAAAAATAACTGTTATTCAAAAGAAAAAATTGAGTAATCATTTTTCTTTGCAATAAAATGACAGGTTTAAAAAAAATGACTTGCACCATTATCGCTTTCACCCTCCATATATTACCGTTACACAAATACTTTTTCAGATTAAATGTTAAAGAGCGTAGCGAAGGTTATTTTGACAGGCAGCGAGATAAATCTGAGCGAGTGAGGAGGCAAAGGAGCA